TTTTATTTTTTAAGTTATTATGCCCTAGTGGGCATATTCTTTAGTTCCCCACCTTCCTAAGTCACATTTGCCAAGGTTTTAACTAGCCCTCGGCACACAAATGCAAATATCTCTGCTCATGCAGTATTGCAAGCTGAAATGTTAGACATACGGACTCATACCACTATGACAACTCAAAGAATCATGGGAATTGTAGTTCAGCAACATCTGGGGGGGCGGAGTTTGAGGAACCATGGTTTAAGAGTTAAATTACTTTGTTTAAGTAGCCTTAGCCACACCTCCACAGTCTGTGACATACATAGCCTCCATGAAAAAAGTTTCACTTTCAGGCTTATCTTAATGTACAGTATGGTTACTTTTGGAGTTTTTGTCTCCTGTTCTGATAATTAATCTTTTAAAACACCACAAGAGTATGTAGCAGGTTGAAGCAGGCAATTAATTGAGCAGGAGTTAAGAAGTGCTTAGGAAGGCTTTGTGAGTTATATACAGGGGATGTTTACCTAATGTTGTATAAACAAAGTGATTTAACTCCTAAATGACAGAGAATTGAGCAGTGAAACGCTATGGACATGATCTATTCACCGAAACCACTTAATTAAGCTAAAGATGTTTTGTGCTAAAAGTGTCCCATTAAGGCGAAAACTAGATGATTTGAAAAAGCAAAATCTACAACTCAATTATAGCCAAGGCTTGACTGAACTTTACAAACCGATTTTTAATTCACTGCAATTTGCTGTTTAGTTAATAAACCTAATAACCTTCACATCTTTCATTGTGGTGGTTTTATCTCATACTGACTGGTAATATACATTTGTCATGTTTTTTTGGAATGCAGATAATTTTTTACATTTTTACTATCTTATGTGTAATTGAAAAACAATTATGTTGTTCTTGTAATACACTAGGCAACTACATATGCCCACATCACATAATCACTGAAAAATTGCATTATGAAGTTTGCCACCCACACAGTGATTTACTGGAAAATCTAATTACTTAGATCTTCTATCTTTATGCTTAGCAGATATATCAGTAAACATACTTAAATATTCTCCTTATGGAGACTTATTACAATTACTGTTCCAGTAATGTTATAAAAGATCTAAAAGATGGACCTCCATTTTTTTCATATAATAACAAATTATTTCTGTAATAAAGACGCTATTCTCAAATCCATACATTATTTATATTTTAGAGCTGAAAAACCCAATTTTCACTTATGAAAAAGGTCTAAAAAATTTGGAAAAATCTGTGTGTGCAATTGATTAAAATAAACGTTATAGGAAGGAAAATTATTAATAAAATTAGCTTTAAACTAGACATCTGCAGAAAACAACACACTGCTGTGAGAAATTTGTATATTAGTTATCCATAGAGATCAAGCTCTGAAATATTACTTATTGGGCCAGACAATCGAGAAGCCATTAGTAAGAAAATTCTTCTTTTTTAAACTCAGGAAATCCTCGTCCCACCCCCCCTCCCCCCCAGTTCATTGCAGGTTGTAACTAGAATGGCTTATTCGGATCTTTGATAAATTCTGTGGTTTAAGAATATTTGAGAATGAGAAAGGCAGCATAAAATACATTTGTTATTCTATGGCTCCATAAGGGTATCTTTACTTTGTACAAATGTCTCCTGGCACTTTCATGTTAAAAGGACACTCTGAGCACCACTCTGACGTCATATTTTGCCATCCAATCCGCACATATTGCTTCCAACCAATCAGCTATTTCTTCTTCCTATTTAAACCCGGCTTTTTCTCCCGACCGGTTCCCCTCTGACGAGCTTGGCGGGCGAAACGCGCGCGTCAGGGGCTACACGGCTTTTCTATGCCGTTGTTCTTCCTATCATAGATTACTTCTTACTATTAATCGTTTTCTCTGATTTTCGTCTATTTCTATATTAGTGGGGTGAGCGCTAGGTGCCCTCGAAGGCACGGGGGCGGAGTGTCAGCTGCAGTGCTAGCATCACTTACCAGGAGCCACACGGCTTTTCTATGCTGCCGTTTTTCTATCATTGATTATTTCCTATCACCACTTGTTTTTTCTGATTTTTGTTCATTTCGATATTAGTGGGGTGAGCGTCAGGTGCCCTTGAAGGCACGGGGGCGGAGGGTCAGTCGCAGCGCTAGCATCACCTAACAATTTCGGCTACAGTATTAATCTTTTTGCTACATTATAGCCCAGTGCTAACATTCTTCTGTTATACATTTTTAGGGCTGCACTCGTACTATTTAAGATATATACCTCTAAACTATCCACTGATATGGCTGAGAATTCTCATCTACCGATACATTTAGATACACCTCGGTATACCTATGTTACAGTTTCGGACTGACACTTTTGATTACTTTAACACATATATCCTTTATTATATCGGCCGATACTGTTGAGAACTCTCATCTGCCAACACACTGCGATATATATTGTACGCACCAGCCTTCCAACACGCTATTTTGGCTGCCCTACTCTATTTTAATCATTTACAGCATTTTTCTACTACTTTGTTTGCAACTGGCATTTGTTACTTTTTCTCTCCCCCCCCCTCCCTCTTTTCTTTCCTTTTGCGCAGACGTGCGCTAGGACTAGTTCATTGCTCTACCACTAAATCAGAGTCTATCTTGTATATATCACTATAATTTTGGTTCTCATCCTCATTTTATTCAGAGTCTAGCTAATATAGACACCACGATCTCTGTGTTATTTCTGATATATATATTTTTTTGTGTTTTTAACTAATTATTACTAATAAAATTGTTTTTTATTTTTTGGACCCTGTGGTCCCTTCTAAATGAACCTGAATTCTACACACTTGGTGTTGTAGTCTCAGGCCCTGGCTAATCCTTTCCCTACCTTTAAGGTATACACTTCTTTTGTTTTGCATTCATTTTCACTAGGGGTTATCCCCCTTTCACTGTGTACCTTGGCTGTTCTTTGACAAAGTTTTCTATTCTACTCTAGGTTTTAGTACCTTTACTTCACAGCCTTTTTGATAAAATATGTCAACCTTTTTATCTGGGGTAATAAACCCGGACCCTGGATCTACAGACATTAATAATGTTTTTTCATTAAATCCTCTTAACCTATTACCAAGTACTGACATCAGTGAGGTGTTTTTCACGATTCAAAAGTTGTACCAACAACAGATTAAAGGGTATTGGGAGTTGATTAGTCTTAAACAATACTTGGATCATAAATTGGTTCCACGGGGACTTAGACCTGAAATATCTTTGCCTGAAAAAGCCATCACAGATGAACAAATAAAAGAATGGAATAGCATTCTTCTTGATTGTTCGGCCAAACTTATGCAGTTCCTGGTTAAATTAGAAACAAATAATTTGGACACGGTAAATAAGAATCTTGAAAAGGAACTGGTTAATGTTAAAAATTTTAAAGATAGATCAGAATTCTCCCTTCTTGAAAATAAGTTACAGAAAAATTTAGAAGGATTTAAGAAACATGTCAGGGAAAAGAAACACGAGAAGTACCTAAGAGACCATAGAGACTTTCAGGAAGGCAATATCTTTCGAACTAAAAGAGCTAAAAAATATTACAACAGTAGGAACAGTTCTACATCTGGGAATACTGATTGGTCCGATTCGGACTAATATAACATTAGAAAAGATCAAAAGAAAACTTATTCACAACCTTATAGAAATAGAGGCATCCTTAAGACTCGGAACGTCACTTTTCCAGACACCCTTAATCTTGAAACGGCAACAGCTAACCAGACCGAAAATACTGAGGGACAACTTCCTTTTTTAGAGGAGGACTGGCCCCTCCCACAGAGAGACAAATTACGAGACAGACGCAAATGGGGCTACAAACGGGACAAAAGATCAAATCAGTACTAACAAGTGATAACATGCATCAGATTATTAATCTATCAAAATTTAATTTACAACAGCATCACATCTCATTACTCCAAAAAGGTTTATCTTTTATTCCCACCCCTAATGCTAACAAATTCGATTGGATTAAGGACACCAATCTTTTTGGGCGCAAATTAGCCCTAAATGTTGTCCACAAAAGAAGGGAATACAAACTGGCCAAAGAGGCAGGTATTCCTTATGACGACTATTGTCTTCATCAGACACTAATGTCCTTACTGGAGGAACAGAATCTTGAACTGCCACTTACTGACTCTAAACCAGAGAATTGGTTTACTCCCAACCTAAGTGAAGTGTCAAGCGTTGATCTTTTTATACGAATGACGACATCTTCTATTGAATCACTCCCTATCCCTAAGATAGTACATGATAATCTTACGACGTTCCAAAGACGAGCCCTTAAAGAGTTGAGTACAGCAGCAGATCTTATTATCAAACCCTCGGATAAGGGTGGCAATATTGTCCTGCTGAACAAAGATGACTATCTAGAGATGTGTATGGAACATCTCGATGATCCATTAGCATATCATAAACTTACTGGGGATCTCACCCCTCAATATCTTGAAGAACTTAAGCGTATCCTATTACCAGCATTGGACAACAAAATCATTACACAAAACGAATATAGATTCATACTGCCACATCTCAATCCCACCATTGCTACTCTATACTGCCTTCCCAAGGTACACAAGAACATCAATAAACCACCGGGTAGACCAATTGTCTCTGGGAATGGCTCTATCACTGAACGTAGTAGCAAATTTTTAGAGAAACTGTTACATCCGTTAGTTACTGGTCTTCCGTCTTATCTCCAAGACACCAAACAAACCCTTATCCTTTTAGAAAATCTAATTGTGCCACCCTACTGCCTTCTGGGGAGCCTTGATGTTGTGGCTCTTTATAACAATATACCTCACCCCATAGGCCTATCAGCAACCCGGCACTTCCTTACTAAATCCAACAAATTTTCGGAATGCCAGACTGATTTCATCATCCAACTTTTGGAATATGTACTTACACATAACTTTTTTGTCTTTAATGGTACATATTACCTCCAGCTCAGGGGCACAGCCATGGGCACAGCTTGTGCCCCCAGCTATGCCAATCTATACCTGGGCTGGTGGGAGGAAACCATTCTAGATCCCATCATTAGAACTGGGTATCAAACTTGTATCTATAGTTGGCATAGGTATATCGATGACGTCCTGGTATTCTGGTTGGGCTCTGTTAAGCAATTCGAAGAATTGGTTGAACTCCTCAATGTGAACTCCATTGGCCTCCAATTAACCCATGTAATTGACTCTGAACATCTAGTCTTTCTGGATCTCAATATTAAGATCCTACCTGATGGAACCATCGAAACCGAGCTTTATCGGAAACCGACAGCGACGAATAGTCTGTTAAATTGGGAAAGCCACCATCCCATCAAACTTAAATCTGGCATCCCATACGGACAATATTTGAGGGCCAGACGCAACTGCTCTAATGATGCAACATTCCAACTTGAAGCTCATAAGCTACGAACTATGTTTAAACAAAAAGGCTACCCGAACAGAATATTGAAAAGAGCCTACCAACAAGCCTCTGCTATAAATAGGAACGAGAGTCTACACGCTAACAGACAAGTCTCGGATTCCAATATCATTCGATGTATCGGGACATATGACCAATACTGGGAACCTATTCTACACATTATGTCTCACAACTGGCCAATCCTCAATTATGACAAAGATCTTAAGGACAACATCACCAAGTTCCCCAACATTACTGCACGTAGGGCTAAGAACCTCCGTGACCATCTCGTTCACAGCCATCTAGAACCCAGCCGTAATCCAACTTGGCTAACTCCGGTTGCTGGTGTATATCAATGTGGCCATTGTAAGGCCTGCAAACATATCAAGCCTTCTAAAACCGTTTTGAGCACTCGCACAAAAAAAGAATATAACATTAAACAATTCATTAATTGTCATTCCACAAAAGTGATTTATCTCATAACCTGCAGTTGCAGTATTCAGTATATCGGTAAAACCTACCAACAATTTAGAAGAAGGATCCTTCAACACATTTGCTCAATCTCCAACCCGAATGTCTCTACCCCACTATCCAATCATGTGAGACTCCATCATGGGGGTAACTCTAGCCATCTGACATTTCAGGCTATAGAAAGAATAACCTTAAATTCTCGGAAGGGCAATTTCAACAAAATACTGTTAATGAAAGAATCCAGATGGATCTACCATTTCCAAACTCTGACCCCTCATGGGCTTAATGAGGAGTTCAACTTCACCCCTTTTATTCATAAGTAACTTTATTCTTCTGTTTTTTATTTTTATTTTCCATTTGTAGCTTATGAATAATCATTCAACTGTCAAGATCAACGCCGATCTAGCGTTGCAACATTACAGCTCGATACAATATATAATATTACGACTGCAGGATCAAGTTGATCTATTGCTACAATCTTATAGTCCCATATAATATAATTTAACATCATGACTGCAGCATTCTTTGATATGTACGTCTATATACACATACACTTATAGTTCTCAACCTTGATGGGTGTGTTTCTTACTATATATATATATATATATATTTTTATACCCATCATCTAATGTTCCTCCAATTTGGAGACCAGCATGCTAGGTGTACAATTGATCTTACTGCCCCTGAACCACATCGGCTATTTTTATTACTTCAGTATTATTCCTATGGGCATTTTTCTCCATTTTGGAGACTAGTCTGTTAGGTTATCTTGCCGTTTCTGAACTATATCGGTACCTTTATTATTATTATTTTTATTTGTATTCCCATATTTGTAGTACATCTTTCTTCTGTCTACTATTATCATCTCAATCTTCTGGTTACATCTTCTAGTTATCATTTCTCTATTTTTTTCTTATTTTTTTTTTCTTATTTTTTTATTTTTTTTTATTATATATGGTTTTTGTATATTTTTCTGTTATTGCCTATCGACCATTGCTCTATGTATCTTGATATCGGTCTCTCTGTCGGCACAATCTTGAACAGAGTAAGGTTTACAATTATCCTTTATGTATTCTCTTTTTTAAAATCATATACAACAATTGATATATATTTATACATTATTCTTGGTTTCATTCACTATTTTCCTTTGTATCAGGTTTTTCTTGTCTATGAAGTGATCAACTTATTATTTCTTTGGGGGTTTAGGGTTAATATCCCTCGCTAGGTTGAATAAACACACCTCCCCCTTTTCTCTGACGTCATATTTTGCCATCCAATCCGCACATATTGCTTCCAACCAATCAGCTATTTCTTCTTCCTATTTAAACCCGGCTTTTTCTCCCGACCGGTTCCCCTCTGACGAGCTTGGCGGGCGAAACGCGCGCGTCAGGGGCTACACGGCTTTTCTATGCCGTTGTTCTTCCTATCATAGATTACTTCTTACTATTAATCGTTTTCTCTGATTTTCGTCTATTTCTATATTAGTGGGGTGAGCGCTAGGTGCCCTCGAAGGCACGGGGGCGGAGTGTCAGCTGCAGTGCTAGCATCACTTACCAGGAGCCACACGGCTTTTCTATGCTGCCGTTTTTCTATCATTGATTATTTCCTATCACCACTTGTTTTTTCTGATTTTTGTTCATTTCGATATTAGTGGGGTGAGCGTCAGGTGCCCTTGAAGGCACGGGGGCGGAGGGTCAGTCGCAGCGCTAGCATCACCTAACAATTTCGGCTACAGTATTAATCTTTTTGCTACATTATAGCCCAGTGCTAACATTCTTCTGTTATACATTTTTAGGGCTGCACTCGTACTATTTAAGATATATACCTCTAAACTATCCACTGATATGGCTGAGAATTCTCATCTACCGATACATTTAGATACACCTCGGTATACCTATGTTACAGTTTCGGACTGACACTTTTGATTACTTTAACACATATATCCTTTATTATATCGGCCGATACTGTTGAGAACTCTCATCTGCCAACACACTGCGATATATATTGTACGCACCAGCCTTCCAACACGCTATTTTGGCTGCCCTACTCTATTTTAATCATTTACAGCATTTTTCTACTACTTTGTTTGCAACTGGCATTTGTTACTTTTTCTCCCCCCCCCCCTCCTTTCTTTCCTTTTGCGCAGACGTGCGCTAGGACTAGTTCATTGCTCTACCACTAAATCAGAGTCTATCTTGTATATATCACTATAATTTTGGTTCTCATCCTCATTTTATTCAGAGTCTAGCTAATATAGACACCACGATCTCTGTGTTATTTCTGATATATATATTTTTTTGTGTTTTTAACTAATTATTACTAATAAAATTGTTTTTTATTTTTTGGACCCTGTGGTCCCTTCTAAATGAACCTGAATTCTACACACTTGGTGTTGTAGTCTCAGGCCCTGGCTAATCCTTTCCCTACCTTAAAGGTATACACTTCTTTTGTTTTGCATTCTCTGAGCACCATAGCACTATGACTTTGTGACGGAGCTTCTATACTTGGCTAAGTATCTCAGCCAAGTATTCTGTTTCCCTAGTACAGGAGGTGTATAGCGGTTATTGCAATATCCCAAACATCAGTCGAGGCTTGATGAAGGGTAAAGCATGAACAACTTTAATTCAGCAACATGTATGTACGTAGTGGGGAATTATGATGCAACATAAACATAACTAACCCCATTCAACCCCCCAATAACGACAGACAACTTAGTATGGATGAACAGGCCACAGCATTTATTATAACATAAATAAATTACTGCATAACACATCCATAACTTTATTTATTAAACTCTTCTTTTCTGTAACCAAATTGTTAGAAATAAATAATCATAAATTAACATATGTACATATATAACTCAACACATAGTGTTATACAGAGACCCAACCATCCTTGGCAATAAACATACAGTGGTTCCTAATCCCCACTTCCTCTCACCTCCCCCCTCGTCTTAAAATCATATCCTTCCAATGCCCGCCATCAGCCGACCTTATCCACGCTCAATGGGCACGACACCTCAGGCAACCTAATATTAACCATTTGAAGCAGGGGAGGTTGAGACCTGCAAACATAATGAACTTACTCCATCCTTAAACATAACCCCTCAAACTTAATTGGCAAGGACATATCCCCGCTACCAGATCCGCTGCTTTACCCCTAAATCAGCGGGGAACCCCACCAAAACCACACATGGCCTGTTCCACCGCCTCCTGTAGGGCGAGATTAAAAAGGTCGAGCCTGACCTCCGTTAGGTGTACACCATCCCCCGAAAAAAATGAGCCGCCTCCCGCTCAAAAATCCTATGTCGGACCGGATCCCCCGAACCCCCAAAACAAACTGGGAAACCCGCCTGTTTAACTTGCGTCGGCAACGCTCCATGGCACTTTGGCTCCTGGCGCCACGCCAATAGTTGCGGGCAATGACTTCAGACCAAACCAAGCGCACGCTGGGGAACAAAACCAAAATGCGGGCTAAGTCCCACCTCACTGCCGAAATCAAATTCAAAATGGGCACTGAACCCAGATCATTCCCCCCAGGTAGATCACCAGTAACCAAAAGGCTCTATAAAAGGTGAGCACCACTCTTTTTTCTTTTAAATATTTATTATTGAAAAAAGATCTCTTTGAAGTACTACACCCAGAGTTCTGCCTCTTTTATTTTCCTATGTCTATATTGGGAAGAAGAATATAAGAGAAAGGGGTCCAGCTGTCTACCTTAAAAGACACAGAAATTTGGAAGTTTAGAGCCTTATAAACCGAAAAGGCTCTAAAAAATGTGAGTAAATTACAACTCACTGAAATTACTGTACATTGTGTGTATACAATATTGCACGATTATTTCTTTTTGAATCTTTCATTTTTTATATGTACATCCCCTAACGAGCTGTTTTTAAAAAAAAGGGGTAAGTTATTTGTACACGATCGAGATATCCACTCTAACTGGAGGCGTGGGAGGTAGAAATACCAACCAAACCTCAAGTTATTTGGTTTTTTTTGGTGTTTTTTGTCTTATGGTGGAGTATTGGGAGTACCCACAGAGTGTTTTCAGCAGCTAAAAATTACCACCATATATAAAGTATAGTATAAGCGCCAACTACTACCACACCTACTTGTTTCTCACAAGATCACCAGGATACTCTGCGCCCCCAGGAGATGGGACAGCTGCACCAACTCGGGGAGGAGCCGGGACCACCTCATACCCTTCGCACCGAGCCATCGAACTTCTGCTTCGGAAGGTGTGAAACCCAACCTCTCGCCTCCAGGCTAAACCGCCGCACGCTGCCCAGCCCAGTAAACATAAGAGTGCCCAATGATCCAGATCCTGGGGAGAGCTGAAACTGCGGAAAGAAATCACGTCAACAAACCGGCCAGACGAGCATAGGAAACATAACGTCTCGAGTCCACCTGCCAATCTGAACCACCTGCGCTGGCATGCCAAGCCTAGAGGCCTCGGTCGCCACCCGAATGAGAAATGAATAGCCCCCGAACTCCCTGCTATCCAATCCCACGGCTTCCAGCCCCAAACGAAAAACTCTAATAAACTGGAAATGGGAAAGGAAACTACCATCCCCATGCACCAGGAGTGGCAGCGTGGGAGAAGGGCGCACATCACAATATTCCCTAAAGGACCAAACAAGACAAATGCCGGAACCCGGAACAGCCCCCAACCGGACCCACTTACTCCTCCCAAGACATCCGTCTTAGAGCGTGGGATCCTGAACGAGATCCGATCAGCGGTGCACGAAACGTCCCCAAATAGCACCCCCCCCCACTTGCTGCCGGCTGGGGCACACCAGCTCCCCAATCCGCATGGCACCAAAGAAGGCCAGACGAAAGAGCCAAACCTCGAAATCCAAATGGCAAACCCCGTGCAACGCCTCACACAAAATAGTTAGGAGCGTGCCTGAGATAGGACGCCTCGAGTCTCTCGTAGACACCCTTGCCCACCTCAAATCCTTTAGCGCCTGGCGTACAATGAACGCCTTGGTAGCGTTGTCCCAACCCCGCAACTTAAACAAGAAGCTGAGCCCCGTCAAGCGCGCCGAAATGGTCGAGGGATACAATCCCATGGCCTCCCAGTCCCCCAAGAGAAGAACCAAACCCTGCAAGCAAGTGGACGAGTCCCTGAAGCCCCCGCGGGACCTCTCCCATCCGTCCCATTCCCTCCAAACCTTATTATAGCGGTCCCATGTGGCCGCAGCGACCGACCCACAGACCAACTCCATTAGTCTGTCATACCCAAGGACCAAATCTCTGTCGGACACGGGACACCCTCCAGTTCGGCCTGCGGAGCCACCGCCCGAAACACGTCCCACTGTGAACGAGAGAGAGCATCGGCTATCACATTACGAACACCCGGGATGTGCACAGCCCTAAAATACACATTCAGCTCCAGACAGCGCAGAACTAGGCACCGCAGTAAGCGAACCACGGGGGGGTTGGGGGGGGGGAGAAGCAGACAGCTGGTTAATAGCCTGCACTACTCCCAAGTTGCCACAATGGAAGACCACCTGTCTATCTACCAGCAGGGAACCCCATACCTCCAAAGCTACCAAAATAGGGAAG